AAAATCTTTTGTGACAATACTGGTGCAATTGCCTTGGCAAAGGAATCCATATTTCACAAGAGAACCAAGCACATCAAGAGACGCTTCAATTCCATCCGCGATCAAGTCCAGGTGCGAGACATAGAGATTTGCAAGATACATACGGATCTGAATGTTGCAGACCCGTTGACTAAGCCTCTCTCACGAGCAGAACATGATCAGCACCAAGGCTCCATGGGTGTTAGAATCATTATTGTGTAATCTAGATTATTGACTCTAGTGCAAGTGGGAGACTGAAGGAAATATGCCCTAGAGGCAATAATAAAGTTATTATTTATTTCCTCATATCATGATAAATGTTTATTATTCATGCTAGAATTGTATTAACCAGAAACTTAGTACATGTGTGAATACATAGACAAACAGAGTGTCACTAGTATGCCTCTACTTGACTAGCTCATTAATCAAAGATGGTTAAGTTTCCTAACCATAGACATGAGTTGTCATTTGATTAATGGGACCAAATCATTAGGAGAATGATGTGATTGACTTGACCCATTCCGTTAGCTTAGCACTTGATCGTTTAGTTTACTGCTATTGCTTTCTTCATGACTCATACATGTTCCTATGACTATGAGGTTATGCAACTCCCGATTACCGGAGGGACACTTTGTGTGCTACCAAACGTCACAACGTAACTAGGTGATTATAAAGGTGCTCTACAGGTGTCTCCGATGGTACTTGTTGAGTTGGCATAGATCAAGATTAGGATTTGTCACTCCGATTGTCGGAGAGGTATCTCTGGGCCCACTCGATAATGCACATCACTATAAGCCTTGCAAGCATTGTAACTAATGAGTTAGTTGTGAGATGATGTATTACGGAACGAGTAAAGAGACTTGCCGGTAACGAGATTGAACTAGGTATTGAGATACCGACGATCGAATCTCGAGCAAGTAACATACCGATGACAAAGGGAACAAAGTGTGTTGTTATGTGGTTTGACCGATAAAGATCTTCGTAGAATATGTGGGAGCCAATATGAGCATCCAAGTTCCTCTATTGGTTATTGACCGGAGACGTGTCTCGGTCATGTCTATATAGTCCTCGAACCCATAGGGTCCGCATGCTTAAAGTTCGGTGATGATCGGTATTATGAGTTTTTGTGTTTTGATGTACCGAAGGTAGTTCGGAGTCCCGGATATGATCACGGACATGACGAGGAGTCTCGAAATGGTCGAGACGTAAAGATCGATATATTGGACGACTATATTCACCGGAAGTGTTCCGGGTGGTTTCGGAGAAAACCGGAGTGCCGCAGGGTTACCGAAACCCCCCGGGAGAAATAGTGGGCCTTATGGGCCTTAGTGGAGAGAGAGAGAGAGGGCTGGCCTAGGGTAGGCCGCGCGCCCCTCCCCCTCTAGTCCGAATTGGACTAGGAGAGGGGGGGCGGCGCCCCCCTTTCCTTCTTCCTCTCCCCCTTCCTTTCCCCCTCCTACTCCTACCAGGAGGAGGACTCCTCCTCCTGGCGCGCCTACAGGGGCCGACCGGCCTCCCCCCTTGCTCCTTTATATACGGGGACAGGGGGCACCTATATACACACAAGTTGATCTGTTGATCTCTCCCAGCCGTGTGCGGTGCCCCCTCCACCATAATCCACCTCGATCATATCGTAGCGGTGCTTAGGCGAAGCCCTGCGTCGGTAGCATCATCATCACCATTATCACGCTGTCGTGCTGATGGAACTCTCCCATGAAGCTCTGCTGGATCGGAGTTTGTGGGACGTCATCGAGCAAAACGTGTGCTGAACTCGGAGGTGCCGTGCGTTCGGTACTTGGATCGGTCGGATCATGAAGACGTACGACTACATCAACCGTGTTCTGCTAACGCTTCCGCTTTCGGTCTACGAGGGTACGTGGACACACTCTCCCCTCTCGTTGCTATGCATCACCATGATCCTGTGTGTGCGTAGGAATTTTTTTAAAATTACTACGTTCCCCATCAGCTTATGCACAGTTGGTTCCGATCCCAATGGATCGGCGCTTCGTATGGTAGGTTAATATCATCTCAATCGATGTGATTTTCTCCTGTAAATGGTGTTTTCCAATAAATGCTCCAAATGCCCTTCCTTTCAATTTATTTGAGGGGAGGGTCAGGGAAGAGATTACACGACCTAATGATTCACCAGCCACTTATGTAACACTCATTAAGGAAAACCACCCCCTTTAGAATCATCCATGACAATGGAAAATAGTTTTTCTAAAAGCTAGCGCACTGATGGGCTTAACCTAATTTGTCATTGCACATTTCGGTTTTCCTTAATCTTCTATATCTAAATAGCTAGCCCCCACTAGTAGTTTTCTCTCAACATGCAAGTATGTCAAATCATCATTCAACATGCATGGAGAAAGGTCCACCACAACATGCAATCATGCATAATAAAAAGCCACATCAACATCGAAACATGCATGAGAATTTACATTCTATTATGATATTTACATTATACAATAATCAAACACCACAAATCATATTTATTTTCAGCTTTAGTTCTCATATTATTACTCCAAATATTCATGTTCCATATAACCAATTCTAACTGAATATATTGCAAAACATCCCCACAACAACGTGTGGGGTATCATTTATTATACCTAAGAGAGTCATCCACATTAACTTATTTATCTCAACATGCAAGCATGCCACATTACCATATAATTATGGATGTGACAATGTCCACCTCAACATGTAACCATGCATGACAAAAGACGCACCATGACATGCAACCATGTATGAGAAAAAAACATTTCATTCTACTATTATACTTATATTCAATAAATAATTTACAACAATACATAATCATATAGAATAAGTCATATGTATTTTAAATTTTAGTTCACATATTATTAATCAGCACTAGTCTATTTCTCTCAACTATAAGTATGCCACCTCATTATTCAACATGCATGGAAAAAAGTCCACCACAATATGCAATCATGCATAATAAAAAGCCATCTCAACATAGAAACATGCATGAGAATTTACATTCTATTATGATATTTACATTATACAATAATCAAACACCACAAATCATATTTATTTCCAGCTCTAGTTCTCATATTATTACTCCAAATATTCATGTTCCATACAACCAATTCTAACTGAATGTATTGCAAAACATTTCCGCAACAACGTGCGGGGCATCATCTAGTATACCTAAGAGAGTCATCCACATTAACTTATTTATCTCAACATACAAGCATGACATCACCATATAATTATGGATGTGATAAGGTCCACCTCTACATGCAACCACATATGGGAAAAGACCCACCACCGCATGCAACCATGCATGGGAAAAAAGTTTCATTCTACTATTATACTTATATTCAATAAATAATTTACAACAATACATAATCGAGTAGAATAAGTCGTATGTATTTTAAATTTTGGGTTCACGTATTATTAATCTATATATTTATATCCACAGAATCAAATTTTAGTGAAATATATTCAACCGATTCCTGCAGCAACACGCAGGGTATCATATAGTTTTCATTGGTACATGGCTCCTCTTATTAAAGGGGAGGGGGGCTCCTATTCCCCGACCCGGAATTCCCTATATGTCGCATTCTACGACAAAATGACGGGGCTCAAATAGTAGCGAACGTTAGATGGGCCCGACCCATTTCAAACAAGTTATGCGCTGAATGAATCCCGGGTTTTGGAACCTTCTCGATTTCAAAAATTGAATTTAAAAACAATCATGAAGTTGAAAGGTTTTTATTCAATTTAATTCCTGGTTTTTATTTTTTAACAATTTTTTCAAATGTTTTGAAATGCAAAAAATTCACATATTTGAAAATTGTTCGTGAATTTAAAAAAATGTTTTAAATTTTTTTGTTGATTCAAAAATTGATCACCGATTCAGCAAAGTTTATGAATTGGAAAAACATTCCTATTTCAAAAATTGTTGTGGAAATGCAAAATGTTCATGAATTTATTTTTTTCATGAATTTCAAAAATTGTTCTGAATATCAATAAATTTTGCTAATTTAAAAATTGCGCGCCGAGTAATAAAATATTGATGACATTCAAAATGGTTGCAAATTTTGAATTTTTCCTAAGTTCAATAAAATACGAATTTTGAAATAAAAAAATGAAAAACAAAAAGGAAAGTGCAAAAAGAAAACAAAATAAAAAAATAAAATAAAAATGTTCTCAATTTAAAATTAAAAAATGGAAAGGGTAAATAGAAAATGGAAAATGGAAGAAAAAGTTGGAAAAAAAGAAGTACATAAATAGGAGAAAAAACCGGCTGAGGGAAGGTTCTAAGACTGTTGCAATATCGGCTGGAAAAAGACACGGAGAAACCTCATAATGGCCGGCCCACGTAGCATGCGTGCAGTCACGCGGTAAGTAAAAACCGCCGATTACACGACCCATTCCAAATAGA